CTTAAAACTGTACCACTCAATTATATTCCAAGGCCATGTGGATTCCAGCAACACCTATGTCCTTTCTAAAAACATGAACATGTTTTTCTTCTGGATTCAAACACATCTTCAAGTGTTTCTGACATCAGTAGAAAATCCTTTTTCTTCATACCTTCTGGATAAATACATTTTGACAAATTGAATTACACTGATCAATTCATGATTTTTATAATGGTAAATCACTTTCTTTCAAGCCATTCTCAAGAATGGCTATAAGGAAGACTAAAAAAACTTCTAACATATGAATTCTTGTGCTTGGAAAAAATACTTATTAGCAGAAAATTTGTAGGAGTTCTGAAGCAAACAGCATGAAGTTATTACCCTTTGGGAGATGAATTGCTAGGCATCATCTGTTACTATCTCCCTGACTCGGTGTGTTTATAGCAAAGGAGGTGTGTCAAAGCAGGGACCTTCTATTTTGACCAAAAATGCATGCATGCTTGGAAAATCTCATCTGATTAGTAACGATCAGTGGCACAAATAAAATATATCATTGTGATTATTATGAATAGTATTACTTTAGCTGTTATTATTTTGGTGTTTATGTTTCTCAAATATATCTGCTTATATATATGTTTTCTTTGCTACACTCTTGTTTGATTGATTCTAATGAAATATGTACATATACACCATTTGCACATTTTTCACAACTGAGTATCTCAAAAGTAGATTTGGATCTTATAATTGCTGTCAGTCAGAAGGCAGTCACGACAAAGCTGTCTGTCCTTTCTTACCAATGTACATTCAAATTTGTAGAATGAGCTTCAGAATTCAAAGCTGAGTAGAAAAATTTGGACATGGACAATTTTGAGTCAAAAAGTGATTTAAGAAATGTCAATATCTGAATGTGAAGTTTTAGGGTGCATTAAGCAATTTTGCTTTTATCTCTTTATTTTTATTTCAATGTTTCCACAAGACTGATATATTATAAAAATCTATCTATAAATGGATCTAAAATAATTCTTTCAATAATAATAAAATAAAAATTAAAAAAATAAGAAAGCATTGAGTCATAGTATAATTGAACTTTATTTTCTTTATAGTGATACATAAAATAATGTGTGTGTATAATTTCCATTATTATTCAAAATCAGTGTGACCATATCCCAGAGTCCTATCCTTTCTTTTACAAGTCTCACCTTAAAATTTTCTTCGAAAAATGTAAAAGGTTGAGCATCACCCTCTATTACACATATAAAATGGTTTTAATTTGGCTCTTCAAAACCATGATAATTCCAAACTTGTAAGCAAATAGTTGGCATAAATAGATGGCATAGTTGGATGATTGTTGTGATGTGATCCAAGAAACTATGGTGCACCCACTAGAATGTCCTAGAATGCCCCACTAGGAAGTTGTTTCTTTAGGCTAAGTTATTTCACAAAGCTTCAAAATTTTGTGTTCACATTGATTCATGAATTCACTGTTCAGAATTTATTCTAAGGAAATAATCATATATGGATAAAGATTTTGCTGCAAGGATACTAACCTTGGGGCTAGTATCATTACACCAAACAATGAAAACAGCCTAATGTCTCACAACAAGGAGATGGACACATTGTGGATTGCTATGCAGCAATTATGTTGGAAGAGAATTCAGTATCATGGAAAGATATTGTAAACATATCCTAAAATAAAAAACAAAAAGGAGACTATCAGCCATTATGGTCAGTAGAACCCTTCAAAGAATAAATACATGCACGTCAAAGAGAGTCAAAAAGTATGTTACATGTACATACATAAAGATTATCTCTAAATATAAGATGATGGATGAAGTTTTCCCATAATGCTACTTATTTTCCAAAATGATCTATATATTTCTTTAATAATTAGAAAGTAATAATAGAGTATCAAAAGTCCTCCATAAAGTATAAATGGCCCAGAAGAGAGGATGATGTTGCATCACTCTTAAATTATCATGGGTTTTTAGGAGACCACTTTAAGATCCAGAGCTGTAAATTTATAGTGTTAAAAGTGAAAAGAAATTATGGTTTAGCGCATAAGAGTAAGTCGAAGGAAGACAGACTTGGTTAGGACATTGGAGTGGCTTTTTGCACATTAGAACCATGAGAGTATAAAATGGCTGGGCATTGAAAAGCAGGGTTCATAAGGTTGCAAGGAGGATGTCATCATTAACCACTAATTTCACAGTTTTGCTTCTGCCTAGTCTATTATGGACTTCAGAAGTAATTCCATCTTAACATAGGGAGTGAGAACAGAAGATGTTTTTACCACTCAATACCTATCACAGTGCCAGGCACAAAGCCCAAACTTTAAAAATGCTTCTAACCTCAGGAAATCTGAAGTAGTGGAAAGAACTTTGGATTACTATAAAAAAATCAGAGTTTGATTTGAGATTTTTTTTCTTTTTAATTTGCTAGCCATATGGCCTTGTGCTAATGACTTGCATTTCTGAGACAGAATTTCTCCCTATAAATGTAGATGATATTAATAATGCTTCTTCACATAGTTGGAAAGATTAAATAATCATACATTATAAACTAGCAATGATTTGTTTCCATAAATTATTACTATGCCTATTTTTGCAAAAGGCCTTTTAAATATAGCATTACAATCCATAACAGTGCTGCTATCTGCTTAGAGTTCTTGAAGATTACATAACTGAAAACTAAAAGCAGGCGAACTATATGGAAAGAAAAACAAAACTTTAATTATTCTTACATTCAAGCTATCAAAACTTTAAGGATCTGAAATATTAAAAATGAAACAAAACACACTGAACTTCTTTGTGTTTAGTTACTGTGAAGACAGTGACCTCTTAGGATTTCTTTCTATCTCATGGTTGTAATGAGGATACCTTTTCAATCCAAGATAAAGAAATCTCATTGAGTGAAACATTGACGGAAGGAGAACTTTGAAAGAGATTAGTTCAATATAACTAAATAGAAAATCCAGAAATAAGTACAACTCCCCTTAGGAATTTATTATAGGGAAAGGTGACATTTTATATTGGTAGGGACAAGATGGGTTATTTAATAAATGGTCCTGGAACAACAGCAAAGCCTTTGGGGAAAAAATGGGTTTCTTCTTCAGTCCCTACTTCTAAATAAATTTCAGATGGATAAAACAAGTAAATGTAAAAACATGAAACATTCAGAATAGTAGATAAAAATATATGTATTTTTGTAATCACAGAATAGAAAAAGAACTTCCACGGGTGACATCACATTTAGAAGGCATAAAAGCCAAAATTGATAATTCGGGCAAGATAGGAATTTAAAATTTATTTACAAGACCCCCCCTCCCACCCACCACACACACACACACACACGCTCCAAAACATAAAAAAATTCAAGAACTGGGAAAAACATTTACAACATATGTGACAGAAAGTAGGTCTAAAGTCCATATAAAAACAAGTAACAAATCAATAAGATGAAAACTCAATAAAAATGAACAACAAAAAATACAAATGACCTATTCAAATATGAGAAAACTCTACTCACAAATACTTTATCATAAATAATTCTATTCATATTTACATATGTGCAAATTAATGTCATGAGTTTTCCCACCTGTTAGCTTAGCAAAGACTAAACTGTCTTCTACTGTCCAACATTGGTGTTTATATGAAGAAAAATGCACTTCTGTATTACTGGTGGGAACATAGAGATACAATCTTTTTGAAGGGCAATATCTACAAAATAATGAAACCCAACCATTCCTATAAATTTACTAGAACTATACCAGGATGTGGAGAGTATACAGAGATGTTTATTGCAGCAGTTTCATAAACAGCAAAAAACTAGAAACAATCTAGAATACTGATTTTTTCATAAATGAAATAGAATATTATATAACTATTAAGAATGAGATCAATCTCTATGGGATAATACGGAAAGACCTTCAAGGGGCATTGTTAAGTTAAAAATAAAGTATATATTAACATTTATAGTTTTATGCAATTTGTGTTTCTAATAGACATACATTTATATTTACCAAAATATATCTGTAATGATAAAAAAGAAACAATTTAATGTGTGTTCCTCTGAGGAGTTGAGTTGTACGATTGAGAGAAAAAAATTTTTATCTAAATCTTTTGTATTATTCAACTCTTACATAATGATCATGTTAATTATGTAATAAAAAGCTTAAGCCATGCTGAGTTGTGAATTATGCTTATTAACACCACTGTATATAATCTTCTATTTTTTAAGAGTTTTTACATGAAGGCTTTTTTAAACTTATAGACTTTAAAGATGTTCAGTCTTCACTCATACATACTAATGTTTTCTCCTGTTTTTTTTTTTTTGTTGTGTGAATTTAAATTCTATAAATTTGTTTGTCATATATCTAGAATTCCTTATATTGCCGTAATTATCTAGTTAGCTTAACATAACTTAAATGAAAACTGATATGTAGCATCAATATGATAGTTTAATTAAAATAATTTTATAGAGTAGTGATTCTAGGATTCAACTATCTAAATTTACATACAGGCTCTCTCATTTATTAGTAGGGTGACCCTAGGAAAGTTACTTAACCACTCTTAGCCTCAATTTACTCATTTGTACAATGAGGTAAATGATAGTCCGTCTTTATATTATAGGGAAGTTGGGGAATTAGGTAGATTAATACATATAAAATGTTTAACAGTCCTCAGCACACAGTATTTAATAAATATGTTGAGCATTATCATTATTTATATTATTATTAAAATACTTTTGAAAGACATTTTCAAATTCCATTCTGTTACAATATAGTCTGTGATATGGTTAGGCTCTGTGTCCCACCCAAATCTCATTTTGAATTATTATCCCCAGGTTAAGGGAGAGACCTGGTGGGAGGTGATTAAATCATGGGGGCGATTTTTCCCATGCTATACTCGTGACAGTGAATAAGTCTCATGAGAGCTGACGTTTAAAGGGCAGTTCCCCTGGACTCGCTCACCCTTCTCTCTCCTGCTGCCACGTGAAGAAGTTCCTTGCTTCCCCTTTACCTTTGACTATGATTGTAGGTTTCCTGCAGCCTCCCTAGCCATGTGGAATGGTGAGTCAATTAAACCTCTTTCCTTTATAAATTACCTAGTCTTGGGAAGTTCTTTATGGCAGTATGAAAATAAACTGATACAGTTTATCTTCAAATATAAACATTTTTCAAACTGTGTTCATAAATATAGAATAAATTACTGTTATTTTTGAAGAAGAAGCAACTATGTCTCATTTGTTGAAAAATATCAGAGTTGCAAATATTACTTTCAGTTTCTCAAGCAGAAATAATGGAATATGCAAAAAAGATGGAAAATAGCTGGTAGATATTAATAAAGAGATGAAGATAGACCCTGAATCGGAATTGCCAAATGAGTTCACAAGGAGGAAGTAAATGCCATTCAACCTGATGGTGGGGAACGAGATTACTGGTGTATGAGGACTTCGTTCAATTAGTTAGTTTTTACTTTCTTGACAGGAAATATGTAAACAATATGTGTAGCATTTTACTTAACTATTTTCCCTACATTTCACTTATACCATGATTTAATCATTGAGAGAGTAAATGGAATATTTTCCATTTGTTGCATCAGAAGAAGCATTGTTGACTATTTTTTACAGTCCTCATTGTTCCTTATTGTGCTGTTTTTATTTGTATAAGTAAATGTTGCTGAATTTAGAAAATTTATTTTATTTCTTGCAAAGATATAGCATTCCTCCCACCCTACTTAATTCATAATAATTCCATGTATAGCTATAAAAAAGAGAAAAACATCAACTCTACAAAAATTAGCTTATTTACCTTGGAGAGAGCTAACTATAGCTACAAATATTCTGACAAAAAATGCAGGTTTCTTCTATAGAAATTGCCTGATTTTTATTTATTTTAAATGCTACGTGATGCACTTCCTACCTGAAAGTGGGGCCAATTTTTTGATGAACTCTTTTACTTTGAGTTCTATTGAACGTAAAGAAACAAGGACAAAATTTTGGTGCATATTTTTAGATTTATACTTTTTATAGGGACACTTTAAATGGTGTTGGAGACCATTAGCAACAAATACGTGCAATTTGAGAAAGGTCACCATGACTTCCTGCAAATTAGGGGTTTTATTAGGAAACCATGGCTATAAAATATTTGGTGTTTCTCAGTTGGCTTCCTGTGTAGGTGACACATTTCCTTCCCTATGTTTCACAGCCAGTGAAAGGTCCAAACCCTTCACCAGGTACATCTAATGTTATTTAAAAAAAAAAAATTTCAACAATTTGTCACATTAAGATCTTATTTAGTAAATAGCTCTAGGGACTATAAGTTCTAGTACGTCTGAATTCCAATTGATTGATTTGTTGCCAGTAAGGCTAAAGTTGGGGCCAGCCTAGGTGAACCGTACCTCTGTTCAGTGGCCCAGGCCACAGAAGTCAGTGGATACAAAGGCACTTGGTAGGAAGATATGTCTGGTATAGTAGCAATTGGCCACCTCTTCTATGCACGAGAAATAGTATACTGTCCAGATCCTACTGGCAAGTAGGAACAACCTCATTTTTATAGATACAAAGGAATTAGCCATATATTAAAGTGAGTACATTCATATTTCCCAAATATATATTTTTCCCTAACCACAAAAAATAAATGTACCAAGAAAGTACATCTTCTAATTCAGGAAGCTAGGGGGAGAATCTGCTGCTGATAAACATTACAGGGCTATAAGATCCCTTTAATTTTCATCCTATATTCTAGATTTTATTTTTCTAAAGTATTCTTTTCATAGCCACATAATTCCAAACCACTCTTTTTGAATCCATATAATTCATTCCTGGGGACTCTTTCTCATTCAGAACTGTGCAGAATCATGATATGAAGATGCACAGATATTGCAATACCTATTACATATCTATTAATACTATTCTATTCCATTACATATCTATTAAATACTTTATTAAATAATTCAAATCTGCATTAAGAATTAAATAATTCTTTCTCTTTATCAAAATCCCAAGAGATACAACATTTTGATTGCTAACTTTTGTTATGTGGTCAAACTCTTGCTTTATAGTATCATTTTGGAGAAATCAAAAAATTACCAACAAATTTCTGAATGCTCTTAACTTCAGTGAATTGTTTCCCTTTCCCCAATATTTTGTTTTATTTTTTGAACAATAATTCAAAGATAACTTCCATAATTATAAATATGTAAATGAAACAATTTGTGTATGTTTGCATGTGTGTCTGAGCAGGGATTTGTTTATTTATTTTTTTAAACACAGCATGAGGCACATCACTCATATCATGGAAAAAGCCATTTTTAAGTTTATCAACTTAAAAACAGTATCCAATTTTTTAGGTGATAAATCTAGCAAAGATATAAAGAAAATAGCTTTAAATATCTCAACGCTGATACCGACTTATCAATTTGTAAGATATTTGAAACTATTTCTCTTTTCTAGTCAAGATTTGTCATCATTAACTGAATTGAATATTATGTGATTGTTTGCTTTGGATACTCCGTGGACAGGAAGCATATCTCTCTCTCCTTCGTTTTTGGCCCTCTGCGTCCTTCAAGGGCTTTCAGAACTGGGGGCTGAGTGTACTTGCACATAGGTATGTTCACCTACTTACCTGTCTATCCATCTACCTACCATATCCTTTTCATGTAAATTTTTAGGTGTCAAGAATTTGCCTTATAAAAATGAAGTATTTCAGACTTGCAGGGTAAAATTATTTCTACAATTTCCTTCAAATCTTCCCATTTTGAATCTAAGTGAATTGAGTCAAACAGAGCTGAGTAGTCTTTACGAGATCACAAAGCCAGTTCAAGGCATAGTCAGGAAAAGCCCAGCATGCCATCTGTGCTCCAGGCTTCCTTCAATTCCATCATGCTCTCTTGTTTTGTACAGTTCCTCTCATGTTAGTATGAAGATATATATGATTAAGAAAAACGACAAGTATTTAAGTTAATGATTTTTTAAAGTCATGTTCTGATATGCCACCGGCAAACCTTTTGGAAAAAAAATCAAGGAATGAAGCACAATCAATTTATTTTTAGTTAGCTTATTACTTTCTGCTTTTTTCAGTTTGTTGAAAATAGGTGAAGAAAATTGAGATGATTCTACTACTACATTATTAAAGTTAATGTTTTAAATTAGCATTTGAAGCAATACTGATCACTTTGAAATAGAATAGAATATGGTAAATTAAAATTTATTTGTTAAAATGAATACTCAAGAACACTTCATCTATGAATGTGTTCCTGGATTAATCAGGGTGCTAATTTGTTTCCCTCTTTACCACTTAGAACCTAGAAAAATTGCTTTGAATTTTCTCTCCAATAGTTTCAAGTATAAACAGTTGCCTACTTCATTCTGGATTGCATATTATACCTTTCCATAAGGACTTGATTTTGACATGCTTCTGTACCCCTCACGGTCTCCTCCCTGTTTTTTGGTAGAAACACAGAAGGTGCTTAATAAAAGCCTTGAAATAGACTAGGGATAAAAGAATGAATCCATATATACATTGTTCTTGTAATCACTACATTTCTTATTTAGTTCCTCTCCTGGACTGTGAGGTTATTGCAGGCAGAGACTGTGTCTTATTTGCTAGTGTATTCCTGTCATCTACTAGCTATTCAGTACTGCTTGCAGAATGAATCAATGATTTCTTCTGACTTTTATTTAGGTATATGTCTAATGTCTTTACCTAGTCTGAGAGTTCTTTGAGAAAAGAACTCATATTCTATTGATCTCTGTAAGCTTCAAATAAGTTCTTATTATGCTATGAATAAAGTAGCACTTCAGAAGTACTAGTAAATAAGCCAAATATCACCTTAGATTGCTTTTTTAAGTCCAGGACTTTTTTTCTATTTTTATAAGCACAAACCATGCTATTGAAATAAAATTCAGGTCAATATAAAGAAACTTCTAATATTTTTATATTATTCATTTGATATCTAATTCCAATATCTAATATTTTGATAATGAGGTAAGTTTCCTTTCGAATTCATTGATTTTCTAAGATCCAAAATCTAACAAATGTGCTTATTACTGCCTCATAGTTTCTCTAATGGATGCTCATACTTCATAGAAATTATTACAGATAATGTATTTATAACTCTAAGACTCTGACTATAACACTATATAATTACATTTCCTACTTTCATCCTTGAATATGTTTCATCACACTAGTAGTAATGTTACTCATTAAGTAAAATGAAAAATATATAAAGAAATAAAAAGTTGGCTAGAGTCTCACCACCCCCAAATGCCTCCAATGTTTTGGTCAATTTATTTACTATTTGGTTTTTTAAAACACACATTTCTGATTTTCTTTTCCAAGTTATATTCAAATTGTAACAGTATTCTTATATCTCATATATTTTATTTATTAGCTTAATTTCTGCTTGAGGAGAAAAACGCTTTCTAATAGTAACTAAGCAAATATAATTCCAAGTTGTTCCATGCTTATTATGTTCTCTTCCCACAGAGGGCTCACATATGTAATCATTCTCACAGATAAAAATGAAAATAATGTACATATGTGTATATGTGTGTAATTTTTATAAATATCTGTATCTATAATCCTTTGTCTCAAGTAGATAATGAGACTCCACAACCTTTCCCAGAAAATTAATCCCAAAGATACTTATCACAAAGCACACTATAAAGTAAATGTTGTGTCCCTATTGGTTTCTAATACAAAACTAAAGATTTTAGGGCAAGTCACATAACCTCTAAGCATCAGTATCTTCATCTTTAAAAATAAAGGGCTTATATAAATACTTACCTTATTGTGTTGTTTGGAATATTAAAGAATCTATGCCTGCAATATGCTTAGAAAATATCTAATTCATACAAAATACTTCATAATTAGAATTATTCTTGCAGGGAAAGTCTTATGGTCAAAACATTAATTCCAAATTTTGAGGTTTAAAATTTTTTCTTTTCCTAGACTCAGGGAAATAAAAAATGATAATAGTTTCTTTTTCATAATAATATTTTAGAAGTCACTTAAACATTCCTATCTCCCCTCAGTTCTATACATTCCTATCTTTCCACTTGACAAACGCAAAAAAAAGTTAGGAAACATTACCTTTTAATACTAGATCCCTGCTATACTTTTATCCAATTATTAAAAAGAATTTTTTTTAGCAGAGTCTGGCTTTTGTGTAACAGAACTTGCTAGGCTACTAGGGGCTTGAAGGCTATCTCAGAAGTGACCTGGTTGGATTTCTCAGTACAATGTTCAAACTAACAGCATGAAATACTTATCCCATCATGGCAGAGAACTGTTGAGGTTAAGGAAGAGAGCAGAATATGAAGCAGAGCAGGTCATGGTGTGTATGTTGAACATAGCAAAGGGGCCTTGAACTCAATTCAAACCTACTTTGTCAGAGGACAATGTATTCTGTCTGGCTAACAGTACTACAGTTCATACATTTACTGAGATCAAGGATGGAGAGTTAGTCTAGAGATTTAAGTCAGTAAATTTGTCAATTTAAAAGTTTGACAGTCAGTTAGAAGCCAGATTGACAATAGTCAGGCAGAATTAATTCTTAAATTGTGATTGCCTTGAATGTAACATATTTCAATAACGGCTTCAAATATTTTTCTTCAGTTAATGTTCTTTATGCAGTTAAGAGATTTGTTTTACATTAAGTTAATTTAAAAGTTACTGACCTTGGAAAAAAAATCTCTTTTGTGGGGAGGAGGCATGGGAATCAGTGTTTAATTCTAGTGGAACACATGAGCACTATTAGCCTTTGCTATTAACCTTTTTGCTTTCACTGTCACTTGTAGACATTTAATTTTTATAAAGTCATGAGATGCAAAATAGTAAATAGGAACAGATGAGATGTGATTGGAATCAATGGATATTGCAAGACTTCTCAATAAACTGTTCTAATGGGAAGTCAACATAAAGATTAGAAACCACTATTTCAAAATGATTCATGGGCAGTAAGATACAGAAAGGGGCTTTAGAGTCCATCTTTGTGAACTGGATCACTTTTGTTTGTTCGTATGTTTGTTTAAGTGAGGAAACTTGGACCCTAAGTGATAAAGTGATTTTCTCCAAGATGACACTACTGAACAGTAACACAGCATGGATGAGATACCGTTTCCTTTGGCATTTATTCTTTTGTCTCACCAATACATCACACTGTTACTTGTCCTTTGGAGATAAGTGGCCAACATTCTCTCTAGAACAGGATAGCAAAGAAGGGGGTAAAAGGCAGAGAATTACCAATACTGACTCAGTATAGCAAAGAAGGGGGAAAAGGCAGAGAATTACCCATACTGACTCAAACAGTATAGCAAAGAAGGGGAAAAAGGCAGAGAATTACCAATACTGACTCAGAGATAAGATAAAGGAAAAAATATAGATTGCAATTTATAATGTATATTATGATTCATATAGAATTGTATATGGATTACTTATTTAAGTGTGGTCTTAAAGAATGTTAATAAGACTTTTGAGATATTCTAGAGAATATGAAATAATGTAAAGTAATAATTTATGAAATTTTATTCCATTAAGGCAAGTCAAAACATTTAAACAGTAAATTGTTGCAAGAAGAGATAAAAGACATCCTGTGTTTATTCAATAGATAGTCCAATATGTTAATTCATTCCTTTAACTACAAAAATTTTAGAAGTTTATTCAACAACATAGTTACTTATGACTTCAACAATTTCTTTTAAAGGAGAAAGACTCTATGTGTGACAACATAAGATTGTGACCAATTAAAAATAACAAAATTCTAGCTTTGAGTCACTCCATTCCATGAATACATGGCATTAAGTTAGTTATATCATAATATAAAGTGAACCAAATTGTTCCAAAGAACATAAAACTATAAAGTAAAACAGTTTTTGGGGAAAAGTCTATTTTTTTCTTCATACCTGATCTCTTTCTCTCAAATTTGGATTTGTATTATGAAATGTATTTTTCTTTATAAGGTATGTTTATATATGAAAAGTAACTTTAAAGTTTTTAATAGAACTTCAGATTCACCCAATAACATATCTACTTTTTTCTCTCATCTTTCTAATAGGTGTCTTGGCAAATGGAAGAATTTCAGGGAATTGCATATATATAGTATATTTATGTTTATGAAATATGTACATATCATTATACTAAAATAAACATGTAAATATATTTATACAAATGTATATATGACATATAACTTTTTATGTGTTAATACATATTATATGTTATTCACTGAAAAGCACAAATTTATATTTAAATGGTATATCTGAATGTCGACTATATTTCTATATGCAAGTTGTCCCAAAAGGCTTAGTACAGTTTTAAACTTTAATCACTTCCATACTATAAATGCTACAAACTTATAAAAATAATGCTTGAAATTTAATTGCTTAAATTATTTTGTACTAGTTTTGTGATTTTTGAGTAATAATTTTTAAATTTCAGTTTGCTTTAGGACCTCTGAGTAAAGATGACAAATTAAAAATTAGCAGCCGTCTTTAGCAAATAACTGACTGGTTCTAGAAAGAGCACAATCAACATAAATTTTGCCCACTTCAAAATGCTGTCTAGGGATAGCCCTGCATATAAGCTTCTAAAACAAAACAGTAGTCCACATCTATTATAAAAGATTAACATAAACTACAGAAGCACTTTATTCAATGGAGGCCCATTTCATCAGGGCAGAATTCTGTGCTCCATTATGTAAGTTTGATTTAGTGGGAAAGAAAATGTTATCTTCAGAGTTAAAATAATTAAAGCCGTAGCATGTTTGGAAGACACAGACTTGTTCAGTTTTAATAACAAGGATGAACACTTTTGTTATTTTTTGCCTCAAAAAATTTAATTGGTAAGTATATTCAAGAAGCATAGTAATCTAATGGTTTATTTGAGGTTTCAGAATATAAGATATCATTATCTACAGCTCTGAAATATTCGTATCTTTTCCTCAGAGTCTAAAACTGCTCAGAAAATGTTCTGGTACCTTTGATTAGTTCAAAAGGTAAGTCCAGGTTTCAATAAATTTCGTACACTTCTAACAAAGATTGTTGCTGCCTGAACACTTTCAGGCCCATTGCTGTACTACACTCACTTATGCATTACCAGCACCAAGAACAATGTCTGCACAAAGTATATGCTCAATAAGTTCTTGGAATATTTCTGAGAAATTTAAAATTTTATGGTATAGTATAAATAAGCCCTAAATCATCATTGTCTAATTATCAAAATAGATTTTATTTAAAAATGTAATATAATCTTAAAGGACTTTGACAGATAATTGGCAGTATATGTTATTCATCATGTAGCCTTTAAAGAATAAGTTAAACACAAAAGAAAAGTCATACTATAATTTCCTAAAGTTTAAGTTCCATAATACTAATATTCTATTTGACCACAAGATACTTGACCTGATTAAGGCATCTGATTTACTCCCATTCAAGTTGCTAATTTAGCCTGATACTGATAGTATTTAACCAACTTTATCAAAAATTTTGTGAGAAAGGAATTTAGCTTATTTCTGTAAGAAATCTTGGTCTTCAATTTCTTCTGTAGTAATGCTGTGCTGTACAACTGTAGGCATATGATTTTTTGAAAATGAGTTTATATGAATGCATATTGCATGCATGCATGGATGAATGAATGACATCTGGACATATGATAAAGATATAATAAAGATGTTGATATAGTTTGTATATTTGTCTGCACTCAAATCTTATGTTGAACTGTAATCCCCAATGCTGAAGGTGAGGCCTAGTGGGAGATGATTGGATCATGGGTGTAGATTTCTCATGACTGGCTTAGCACCATCCTCTTGGTGCTGTTCTAGTGATAGTGATGAGTTCTTGTGAGATCTGGTTGTTTAAAAGTGTGCAGCACCTCCCCACTCTCTCCCTCTTGTTCCTGCTCCCACCATGTAAGATACCTGCTCCCCCTTTGCTTTCTGCCATGCTTGGAAACTTCCTGAGGCTTTCCCAGAAGCAGGAGTCACCATGCTTCTTGTATAGCCTGCAGAACCATGAGTTAATTAAACCTCTTTTCTTTATGAATTACTCAATCTCAGTTATTTCTTTACAGCAATGTAAGAATAGACTAATACATATACACTTCATGTAGTTGCAAAGCAACCATTTGAAGAACCACAAGAACTACATATTTATTATTATTATTTTTCATTTATTTTTAAATCACGCATCCTATAGACGTCAGGTAACTTTTCATGTGTCTTTATTTCTTCTAATTTCATATTTGGACATCTTGTATCTGAGATATACAACTTTGATTAAAATATTGAGTCAAGGCACAGTTTAAAAGAACACCAGATACTAGCATTTGCTCAATGAAGAAATAAATAAAGGAAAAGATGACAAACGTTTGGATGAAGTCAGTGGTTACCACTCTAAAATACTTAGAACAGTCATTGGAAAATCAAACGAATGTTAATATATGTGAAGGCAAAATTTAAGTCTGTGTTTAGAGTAACAATCCAATTTACATTCTCTCTGTAATAGCAAAAGCCTTACAAATACCACTATTTCTACATTTCTATACGTAAAGCACAGCTCTTGTTTTCATTGCTCTTTGTTGTACTCCAGTTTCATAGCATGATCTCTCAGGTAAATTGGTTAACCAAATTGAACAAATATATACTAAAAGGTATTTCCACTATTATTTTTAAAAATCAAGTTCTAAAAAGAGCTCCTTTCAATTATTCCTATTCTCACTTAATTATGGGGCAGGTCAACATGATTATCCCTTATTGTGGAAATGAGAAAAGTGTGTTTTAGAAGTTAAGTGATCATCACAGAAAGTCAGTGTCAGAAGTTGTGATTTGGCCGGGCGCGGTGGCTCAAGCCTGTAATCTCAGCACTTTGGGAGGCTGAGACGGGTGGATCACGAGGTCAGGAGATGGAGACCATCCTGGCTAACACGGCAAAACCCCGTCTCTACTAAAAAATACAAAAAGCTAGCAGGGCGAGGTGGCGGACGCCTGTAGTCCCAGCTACTCGGGAGGCTGAGGCAGGAGAATGGTGTGAACCCGGGAGGCGGAGCTTGCAGTGAGCTGAGATCTGGCCACTGCACTCCAGCCTGGGCGACAGAGCAAGACTCTGTCTCAAAATAAAAAAAAAAAAGAAGTTGTGATTTTTTTTTTATTTATAAATCACAATTTATTTGATTTATAAATCAAAATATTCAGACTGCCTAGTCCTTTCTCAACTACCATTAATAGATTATTTGGGTACTGAGCAGGCGGACCAGTTTTTGTTTGTTTGTTTATCTTGTTTTGTTTTACATGCTACAAGTCACATTGATTATGTGACTATTTCCACCTTTAATCTAACTTTAATGCCACATCACTCAATCATAACACTCAATTTTTTTGATTAATATATTAGACAGGAGGCCTATAATTTCCTTTACACAAAAATAATCTCAAATCATCTACAAGTGGTACATTTTAAAATTCATTAGAGATCTTTGACATGCTCTTCTATTAGCAAGATTTCAGAGAGCACAGATGGCAATTAGTCACACAGATGCTGGTGGTTAAATCCTTTGAGTGAGGAGAGCAGCACTATCCATGAAAAGAACTTTCAAGTCTCTGGAAACAAACAGTAATATTAAATGCCATTCAAAGCATTTCCTGTCAACACTCCAGTCTCATTACATCCTTATATAAATTCTCTGCTCATTTTTAAACTTTCAGAATGGCTGGTTGTTGGAAAATCCAATCCTAGCAGGATGGAGGGCCCTTTAAGCTACTGGTTCTTCAAGTGTAGTCCCTGGACTAGCAGCACAGACATCACTGGAGAGCTTGTCAGAAATGCAAATTCTTTCGCCTCACTCCAGACCCACTGAACCAGAAACTTTAGTAGTGAGGCCTAGCAATCAGCATTTTGATAAGCCTTCCAGATGTTTCCCATGTAAACAAAAATTTGAGAATCTTTGTTGTAAGTTATTTGGGAGGTGCCTGGGGAAAAGGCTCTCCACAGAGATTATAATGGAATGTACAAGTTAAATTATTATTATAGTTTACATTATATTTAAATTATAAAACATTATTTGACCATAAACAGGATGTCAAATTCTTTTTTTATGTCTTTATTTTGAATTCATTAGAATTAATGTAATTTAATTAAGAATTTCTCAACATAACACTATATGGATACTACATGTGCCTTCACTCTGTGGAGAAGAATTTGCTTTAGGCAATGGAGGAATGGAAATTATTGAGTAGGAACCTGGGCTGAGTTGTTACTAAAGTCTGCATATTGGCAGGGATTTGAGTTACTAAATTACTACCTTTGGTTTCTCATATGTCCATCCTCCATGCCCTGTGACTTCAGAAACGTACCCTTCCATCACACATTAACTTTACATATTACGAAACAGAGCAGAAAATCACATGCCATACTGGAAGATGGAGAAATCAGCAAATTGTCAATCTAGAGTGCTAACATGGAATAAGTTTCTTTTGCTTGAATTTATTTTTATATACTCCTCAAAGCAATTTCACAATTCCATGGGAATATGGATATATGTGATCTTACAATTATATTTACATTCTCTAACCCTTGATTTCTTTTGATTTCTTTAACTGTGTTCATCCTTATACTAGTTTTCATGTCAACAATGCCAACTGCGAACACAACTTGTAATGGAAGCTTAAAAAACAAGCAAAAGAAAAGTCCTCTAGCTTAGAATACTTGAAACAACCCAAAGATTGGGTTAACTAAATCTTAATCAAAATTCAATGTGCAGCAACTAAAATTTTAATATGATGAAGTCATCCTCAATGAATTATCATAAAGGTTTTTATAAATTCATTGATCTGAAGAATACTTAGTACATATAACTGGATAAATAAATTAACAATGATCATTAATATGATTAACATATACTCAAAGTTAAAAATGTCATTCTTTCTAATATTTTAAAAAACAACTATAATGCAAGATTAATATGTGTTTTGGTAGTATAAACACTATCAAATACCCTAAAGTACTATTTCTTGATAGCCATGAAAAAATAATTGTCATAACTATATGACATGAATAAAAGAAAGTAGTGGTAAAATAAATCAGTTTTCACTGCTTCAAAAGTTCCCTCCTTTTCAATTTTGGGAGAGAGACTGCAAAAGATGATGAAGTCTGTCTAAAGGCAAGTGCAACCTCTATGATAAAAATCTATCTTCACAAGCCTCAAGGAGAGTATATCTGGTGTTGAAAGGTTTAGCTCCAAGAGTGTAACAGTGCTGAAGACAGGGAGGGAACTCTTGCCAGTCATTCAGTCTTTTCTACTCTCTTCTATCACTACTTTATAAGTCCTCCTGATATTTGTGCTGATGTTTGCTGCTCCTCTTTTTGCCTTAGGCAGAGTAGAGTAAAGTTCAGGAGGTTAGGTTAAAAAAGACCCCAACCAGCAGGGAATGTAATTTATTGACGGCGTTCTTTACAGATAGATAATGAGAGTGATGAGAAAGCTACATAATTGCTCTTCATAGTGTGCCAAAAGCTCAGTCAACGGCTGATATACATGAAACAAAATTATTAAAGCACTTTATATCAGACACTGGAATGGTTCCCTAAACTGGGACAGACTTACTAACAGCCCATCTGGTTAGGTTTTGGAAGAGTGGACAGATTGTGGCCTATGGATGCAATTCTTTACAATACAAATGGCAGGTGTGATCCTTTGCCAAAAGACCTAAGAGCACTTCTACAGGAATTCAATACAAATCTACATCATACAATAGCCTTGATTCCTCATGTCCAAAGCAAAAAAAAAAAAAAAAAAAAAAAAAAATTACTTACTCAACCCTAACTACTTTTCTTTCATGAGCTTTCACAAAATGAAGGTGATAATAGTATTTGCCTTCCAGAATTGTGACAAGTATGAAGTGGGAAAATACCTAGAAACACATCTGAGGGATTAAAGAGGGTAATTCCCTAAAAATAACCTGGGGACTAACATTTTAGAGGATAAAAGTGAAGCCAATTTTCT